GACTGAACGGTTTCTCACTTTCCAATGGACAAGACCGAACGGTCCATAAAAGATAAGACTGAAGAAGTGGCTGAACACTATTAAGGACCGACCACTAAGAGAGACTGAATACTTCATAGTAAGGTCAAACCGAACAGTAAAAATCACCAATACCCATGAACACAACTGAAAGGAAAACACCCATAACATGTAAATATGACCGAAGGGTCATTTAAAGAGTGAGGCTCAAACGGGAGCCAAATACAAGTTAAGACCGAACACCAATACAAACCAAGTACCCGTACAAGACCGAGCAATACCAAGAACGAGCACTAGTACGAGACCGAGCGCTATCAAGAACAATTACCAGTACAAGACCGAACACACACACTACCATAACTACTAGTACAAGACCGAGCGCTTCTGAAACCGAGTGTTGGTAAATGACCAAGCATTATCAAGACAGTACATGACCGAACGGTCATTAATAGTTAAGACCTATAACAGACCGAACGCTGTTACGAAACCTAGCACTACCTAGAGAGCAACCACCTAAGACCAAACGGTCATGAACTGGAAAGACTAGCGATCGCACCCAGCTAAAGACCGAGTACTTGAACATGGTCGAGCGACCAATAGTGCATGACCCAGCGGTCAACAACGCATGCTCAGCTCTGCATAATTCTGCAAAACTTCTGCAAAAAGATGAACAAGCTAAACTTTACCAAACATTTATCCCAACTTCTAATTCCCGAAACATGAATCATATACACATTTACAACTATCCAAGAGTACCTAAATCTTTCTAACATCATTCCAAAGAGTCCCATACCATATTTCACTCCAAAATTCTGCATAATCAAAAACTCAATGACTCAAAATCTGTTTTCCTACTTTTTTGCACGTTTTAGAAGGACTTAAGGGTTCTAATAGGCCCTAAACAACTCACTTAGATTATCCTTACAGACCGAAACCACTCCTGATACAAATTCCCTCTTTTCACTACTCCACTTTCTCAAAATTCAATCGGCACAGTAACCATAATTTTGCAGAACCGAAATCAAACATGGCCACAGCAGTTAACAACCCACACAACAATACCGAACATACAAACATTCAATTTTCACATACATACAACCACAACAACCATCATTCTCATATATCATAACCAAATCAATTAAATTAAATAGCTTCCCTTACCTCAAAGATACTTGACAGATTTAAACTTCTCCACAGTTTTGCTAAACCGCAAGTGATCCTAGGACAGCCTACAGACTTTGAATCGGTGAAAGGAAACCAACCACCGAACCAGAAACAGAATCAGAACCCAAAGGAAGAGTTCATGAACACATGCAAACCGAACAGTGTTTGCATGTACCAGAAAATGTCGAAATTCACGACAATTTAAGAAACAAAACTTACCCACTCTAACCACGAAATTGATCGGTGGAAAAGGAAGCCTTTGATCACAGGATCGCCTAGGAAGCTCCTGATTGTCGATTAGACGAACCACTGGTGAGAAATTTTAGAGAGAATGAGCAGAAAAGGTAGAGAATAGAGTTTTTAGAGAGATAGAACGTACTGATATAATGAGTTGAGTGTTTTAAAACTCTATTTATACTGTTAGCTTATTTTAACACTAATTGCTCAGTCTCATTATTTTAATACATCTATCTACTCTTAATAGTCTATTTTCTAGGTCCTTACACCAGTCGTTAATCACTTTTCACTAAAATATGGTTTGGAGATTACAATCAGATAATAAAAATAAACAAAGAATAGAAAACATTGTGCTTCGAAAAACAAATGGAAGAAACCCACTCATCCAACTTGAAGAGAACTGCTCTGACCTTAGACCCACTAAGCGCGAGCTTCTCCTATTCACAAGACTTGACTTAAGCAACTATTGATGGATTGACAAGTGTACCAAATCGCACAAGTAATATAAAATGGTAAGACCAAGTATTGTATCCCAAAGGACTCTCGACACTAAACAGTCGTGTGATAAATTAATTAATTAAGACTTAAAATAAAATATGAATGCAAATTGATCAATACTAGAGTAACACAGAGATGAACGAATGTTGTTTAATATGAGATGAATATGTTGTTGGGGTTAGATTTCACCAGGTTCCCTCTCATGTATATAAGAATTCCTCTTTATGCATTAATGTTAATGTCACTCACTAAAGTACTTAGAACCCAATCCCTTGGCGCAATAAGTCTGCCTTAATTCCTAGTTCGTGCAATTCCTAGCGTTCCTAGAAAATTAAGACGACCAAGTACTCATACTCTCATCCCTGAGAAATATTACCCTTGGGGAGAATTCAACAAGAACCTGAATTGTAAGGAACCTCCCGGCACTCATGCAATTCATAAATCATGCAACTAAATAAGTTAAATAGAGCAAGCATTAAAACATATGAATTCCCTAACAATTAATGAATAAAGCATATGATTAAGAATCAATTCAAATACATGAGAGTTCACAAGGTTGCATCATTCTCCAACAACAAATAGAGTTTAGTTCCCCATAGACATGGAGAAACTAGATGTACAATGGAAAAGCATGTGATAGTAAAACCCTAAGAGTAGAAGAGGAAGCTTCCGCCTCCAAATCTGCCTTCAGAGAGTAAAAGAGTCGAAGCTAGAGAAACCAAACCTAGAGCACCTGGGTCCTTTAAATAGAGTTGGAGAAGAGTGGAAACAGGGCCCGGTCCAAAAGAGTCGAAGCAGAGCAAAAAATGGGCCTATTCCATGACGCTCGAGCGCCCCTTTTTGGGTGCCCGGGCGGTGGACGTCGATTTCTGGCGCCGAAGCCTCCACTAGGCGCCCAAGCTTCGCGGTTGACTTCTCTAGTTGACTTTTTTGCACTCTGGTTGACTTTTCTGCATTCCAACTATTTGGTACTTTAACTCTTCCTTCAAATCATTCCAATAGCCTACAAAATCAAGGGAATTTGGTGATAAGATCATCAAGTATAACCTTAACTCTCTTATTCACAAAACTAAAGCAAAAACACAAGTCAAAGCAAGTTTCTAAGTCAAAAAGGGTGCATTTAATATCAAAATTACATCACAGATAACGGTATTTTAAACCGTTATCAACAACACTATCACTTGAGAACTTCCTCAAAATATTTCTGTATTCTCAAATGGTATAGATAACCCTCTAAAGGGTTTAGTGAAAAATATATATAGCCTAGAGGTCAGAAACTGAAAAGACATTTCCCAACTACCAGTGATAATCGATTATTGTAAGTAATAATAGATTATTCGTGTCCGTTATGTGGTTTTTCAAAATGTGATAATCGATTATCCTGAGGAATAATCGATTATTTGCGTAACTTGGGCAGTTCTGACTTAGACTAAAATAATCGGTTATTCCGAGCAATAATCGATTATTCCGAGCAATAATCGATTATTTGCCCGAGCAACTCTTTTTCAAATGAGCTTGTTATAATCGATTATTACACCAAATAATCAATTATATGCACAAACTATCTCTATTAAGGAAAAGTTCTATTTGTTTATATCAACAAAGTTATTTCTAATACAATTTATTCTACAAAATGCTTTTACAATGAATATGACAAGAGTCTTCAAGTTCTTCATCTTGTAACATCTTCAAGGTACCAATGCTCCTCATTAGTAACAAAAATAACACAATGATCATTCTTGTCTTCAAATTTCATTATCAATAAATGTAAGCAATACATTTTTTTATATTTCTAACAAAAAATATGTACATTCAAATCTAATGAATACATTTTGAAAAAGTTCTAAAAAAACCATAATATTTACATAAGCCTTAAATCTTGTAACACTTCATCCTTCCGCACATTGTCGACATCCAAAATTCAATCACAGACATACTTTTCCTTAAGTTGTTGCAGTTCCTCCTACAAAGAAAAAAATGCACACAATATTAATAAAATGCCCAATCTTCTATCAAAGCTCCAAAACATGAAAATTTTTATAACTTACACTTGTGTAATTGGGCATTATTTTGCCTTCGTATTTCTCAACACCATCCCACAACTCCATAAATTTCAAACAATAACTCCAGAATCATATCTACATCAAACAAAGTCCAAAATACAAATAATATAATGCTACTTCAATGAAACAAAAAAAAAATTATAATTACAAAACTAAAGATTAAAAACGCCGATACGGGTCTGATCATTTTCTCTTAGTAAACCATTAATCTCAACTATGGCTTTGTTGTCACATCACGACCGCAATCAAAACTACAAATTATTTTCAACATGAACAATCATTAACCAACATTTTTCAAAGAAACTAATACATTTTCAATACATGACATTTACTTACATTGTTATGAGCTTCTTCTTTAATGCAATCTATCACTATCAAACCAAACATAATACAAAACCTAAGTCAAAATAACCCAACAACAACCACAAACCCAAAAAATTCAAACTTTCCACCCAAAAACCACATGAATGACAAAATGTTCAACAAAACTTCAAACCACACTTAACGATACCACGAGAAACACCTAAATAACACAACAACCCCTAAATACCCAAATTTTTTTTAAAGAACTTAAACCCACTTAACACAAACAATGCATTACGGAAAGGAACGGAGGCAAGCTTCAAAAACTACCTCCAATGGCGGTTTCAAAGTTCGTTGGTTCCGAACGGCAGAACAGTGGCGCGTACAACGTTGCGGTCAACAACGACACTCCGACGAACTTCAAATTCTAACAATGGCGGCGACGCTTGTGGGGAGAGGGACGCTTGTGGGTGGATGAGAGGGAGGAGGGTTCTCTAGATTTCTCTCGCAAAAATCACCTTCTCTTTTTTCAAATGTCTCCAAATGAATCCCATGAAAACAAAACCCTCCGACCCTTCAATTTCCACCTTATTTTCAATTTTTTAAAACATTTTCCACATAGACCAATAGGACAACGGCACGTGTCCTGTGTCAAAATGTTGTCAAACAATATTGTCAAAAGTATCATTATCCATAACTTACAACTCCCAAAGGAGATTATCAAGGTAATATACATAATTTCTGATATATAATATTTCCATTTTAGATTTTGTTAACATTTCAATTTTCACACCTCTGAAAATTGTAAACGAAATACCAACTAACTAGTCACTTAGTAAACTGATGTAAGGAGTTAGATTTTACCTCAAAAAGGATCAAGATTTCTGTGATGGAATGGTGGTTGAAGGATCTCTGTGGTTACTCACTTGTTAGAAGCTTCCTCTTCCGTGATGAAGAATTTCTGCTGAAAAACTTGTCTGAGTTGAATTGTTGAAGATCCTCCTTAAATACCCAACGATACCCGCACTTCTTCACCATAAAACCTAATCCTGGAAGACTCTCAACCCAAGTTTCAAATTTAACTGCTTGAAGATCATGCATGGTATCTGAATGTCTATTTAGAAGATGAATGAAATCTTGTCGAGAGTAAAGCACTATCAACAAATAATCTAACCCAAGTGTCACCAGATCTTTCTTGAATTTTAGAGAAACTCTTGAATACATTTTTAGCCCAAAGTTGATGAAATTATTGACACCGTAATAAAGATAATCGTTTGTAGGATAATCTCTTTCATCCAAATTCATAGGACCTTCGTGTGTGACAAATAGAGCACAAATGGAAACACCTATCCAATTTGGGTCATCTATAACAGCAGATGGGTCCATACTTATTGATGTACTTGCGTTTTGTTTACTGAACCATTTTGGAATTTCACTTCCAGGAATAACAATTTCCATCCGAGGGACCAAGTAATCCTGATTAAAGCAAATTCAGTTATACATAAAGAGTGTACACAGAAAAAGTGAGACAAAAGAAAGGATGGAGTCGTCGTCACCTCAAGATTTTTCGTCATCCAACAAGAAAAAACTATGCTATAACAGTGTTCCATATCACTCAACTTGGAGCAGTCAAAAGTGTATAAGCTATAGCATCTGCCAATTGTAATTTCTTGTATTTTTGGAAGCTCGGGCAAATATTTTAACTCCTTGCACTGTGTCAAGTTCAAACATCGAAGATTGGAAAGTTGCTTGATGGTGCTTGGTAGTGTCACAAATTTGTTTCCCCCCAAATTTAATATTTCTAAAGAACGTAAGTTCCCAATTTCATCTGGGATTTGAAGTAGATTACAGAAGCTTATGTCAAGATCACACAAACACGGGACAGAGAAAGACAAAAAAGACGATAACAAACCAAGTGAAACTTGAGGTTTTGGAGGGTAGAAAAAATGGAAAGGCAACATTAGAAGTTTGTATACAGAGGATGTTGGCAATTGGATGATATTTGTATTTTTATCAACTTTCTCCAAATGTTTTGTGTCACTTGGGTCCATTAACATCTTACTATTAAGTAATTGTGAACAGCCTGAGATATTTAAGGTCTTAAGAGAACTGATCCCAAAAAGGATATTCAGATTAAGGACAAGATTTTTACAATTCTTCAAATTCAAACGACGAAGGTCTCTTAGAATACCAATGGATGGATGGATGTGGACTAGTTGTATACATCCTTTGAGATTAAGATCCGTAAGACGTGGAACCTCACTTAAGTCTGACACCTCAATAAGATTTTTACAACTTTTCAAATTCAAACGACGAAGGTCTCTTAGAATACCAATGGATGGATGGATGTGGACTAGTTGTATACATCCTTTGAGATCAAGATCCGTAAGACGTGGAACCTCACTTAAGTCTGGCGCCTCAATAAGATTTTTGGAGTGACTCAGATCCAAATTTCTCAAATTAGGCAGACACTGTAAGAGAAACATAAGTAAGAAAATTTCAATTTTCCATTAAAAAGGTTAAAAGATAAAACGATAAATGAAAAAAGGTTAACCTTCCCCCCTTTTTCTTCTGTNCTCTGGTTGACTTTTCTGCATTCCAACTATTTGGTACTTTAACTCTTCCTTCAAATCATTCCAATAGCCTACAAAATCAAGGGAATTTGGTGATAAGATCATCAAGTATAACCTTAACTCTCTTATTCACAAAACTAAAGCAAAAACACAAGTCAAAGCAAGTTTCTAAGTCAAAAAGGGTGCATTTAATATCAAAATTACATCACAGATAACGGTATTTTAAACCGTTATCAACAACACTATCACTTGAGAACTTCCTCAAAATATTTCTGTATTCTCAAATGGTATAGATAACCCTCTAAAGGGTTTAGTGAAAAATATATATAGCCTAGAGGTCAGAAACTGAAAAGACATTTCCCAACTACCAGTGATAATCGATTATTGTAAGTAATAATAGATTATTCGTGTCCGTTATGTGGTTTTTCAAAATGTGATAATCGATTATCCTGAGGAATAATCGATTATTTGCGTAACTTGGGCAGTTCTGACTTAGACTAAAATAATCGGTTATTCCGAGCAATAATCGATTATTCCGAGCAATAATCGATTATTTGCCCGAGCAACTCTTTTTCAAATGAGCTTGTTATAATCGATTATTACACCAAATAATCAATTATATGCACAAACTATCTCTATTAAGGAAAAGTTCTATTTGTTTATATCAACAAAGTTATTTCTAATACAATTTATTCTACAAAATGCTTTTACAATGAATATGACAAGAGTCTTCAAGTTCTTCATCTTGTAACATCTTCAAGGTACCAATGCTCCTCATTAGTAACAAAAATAACACAATGATCATTCTTGTCTTCAAATTTCATTATCAATAAATGTAAGCAATACATTTTTTTATATTTCTAACAAAAAATATGTACATTCAAATCTAATGAATACATTTTGAAAAAGTTCTAAAAAAACCATAATATTTACATAAGCCTTAAATCTTGTAACACTTCATCCTTCCGCACATTGTCGACATCCAAAATTCAATCACAGACATACTTTTCCTTAAGTTGTTGCAGTTCCTCCTACAAAGAAAAAAATGCACACAATATTAATAAAATGCCCAATCTTCTATCAAAGCTCCAAAACATGAAAATTTTTATAACTTACACTTGTGTAATTGGGCATTATTTTGCCTTCGTATTTCTCAACACCATCCCACAACTCCATAAATTTCAAACAATAACTCCAGAATCATATCTACATCAAACAAAGTCCAAAATACAAATAATATAATGCTACTTCAATGAAACAAAAAAAAAATTATAATTACAAAACTAAAGATTAAAAACGCCGATACGGGTCTGATCATTTTCTCTTAGTAAACCATTAATCTCAACTATGGCTTTGTTGTCACATCACGACCGCAATCAAAACTACAAATTATTTTCAACATGAACAATCATTAACCAACATTTTTCAAAGAAACTAATACATTTTCAATACATGACATTTACTTACATTGTTATGAGCTTCTTCTTTAATGCAATCTATCACTATCAAACCAAACATAATACAAAATGTAAGTCAAAATAACCCAACAACAACCACAAACCCAAAAAATTCAAACTTTCCACCCAAAAACCACATGAATGACAAAATGTTCAACAAAACTTCAAACCACACTTAACGATACCACGAGAAACACCTAAATAACACAACAACCCCTAAATACCCAAATTTTTTTTAAAGAACTTAAACCCACTTAACACAAACAATGCATTACGGAAAGGAACGGAGGCAAGCTTCAAAAACTACCTCCAATGGCGGTTTCAAAGTTCGTTGGTTCCGAACGGCAGAACAGTGGCGCGTACAACGTTGCGGTCAACAACGACACTCCGACGAACTTCAAATTCTAACAATGGCGGCGACGCTTGTGGGGAGAGGGACGCTTGTGGGTGGATGAGAGGGAGGAGGGTTCTCTAGATTTCTCTCGCAAAAATCACCTTCTCTTTTTTCAAATGTCTCCAAATGAATCCCATGAAAACAAAACCCTCCGACCCTTCAATTTCCACCTTATTTTCAATTTTTTAAAACATTTTCCACATAGACCAATAGGACAACGACACGTGTCCTGTGTCAAAATGTTGTCAAACAATATTGTCAAAAGTATCATTATCCATAACTTACAACTCCAAAAGGAGATTATCAAGGTAATATACATAATTTCTGATATATAATATTTCCATTTTAGATTTTGTTAACATTTCAATTTTCACACCTCTGAAAATTGTAAACGAAATACCAACTAACTAGTCACTTAGTAAACTGATGTAAGGAGTTAGATTTTACCTCAAAAAGGATCAAGATTTCTGTGATGGAATGGTGGTTGAAGGATCTCTGTGGTTACTCACTTGTTAGAAGCTTCCTCTTCCGTGATGAAGAATTTCTGCTGAAAAACTTGTCTGAGTTGAATTGTAGAAGATCCTCCTTAAATACCCAACGATACCCGCACTTCTTCACCATAAAACCTAATCCTGGAAGACTCTCAACCCAAGTTTCAAATTTAACTGCTTGAAGATCATGCATGGTATCTGAATGTCTATTTAGAAGATGAATGAAATCTTGTCGAGAGTAAAGCACTATCAACAAATAATCTAACCCAAGTGTCACCAGATCTTTCTTGAATTTTAGAGAAACTCTTGAATA